GTTTGCTTTATACTTTGACTTCTGGTGTAGCACTGTAGGATAAGCACTGGATCACAAACCACAAGGTTGGCAGTTCAAACCCACCAGCTGTTCCTTGGGAACCCTATACAGGGTTGCTGTGAGTCAGAACTGACTCAATGGTACTTAACAACAACATATGTTCATATAAAACCTTTATTAAGAAAATTAAAACTGATAGTCACCAGACGACTAGTGGAAATGTTAACATTCTGAAGGAACAGAGAAATCCAAATACCTGAAAGCTCACAGTCAATAAATCGGATCTATTTTACCTCATATGAGTCTCGATGTAAACACCTAATTTGGATTGGTTCCATATTAAATATGAGCTATGAATAAATATTTGAGGTAGGTCATGACAAACACTTAGCTAAATAAATGTACATTTATTTTTTTGCCTTCAAAATCTAGTTCAACATTAAATGTTGACATTTCCTACCATTTTTTTTGTTTCACAAAGAAATAATGATTTCTCTACTCTCCAGAAACAATAATACATCAAAAAATAAAATGTTTTAAACTTACTGTTTTATAGGTACATCTTACCTTTGTGAACAACAACAAAAGATTATATGCATCACAGTGTAAGATGTAAACAACAGGGTCAGAGAAACCTGTAACTGAACCCTAATTTTACCATATTATACAGTCCTGGTGTGGTGCTGTGGGTTAAAGCTGGACCACAAGGTCAGTTTGAATCACAAGGTCAGTGGTTCAAACTCACTAGCCACTCCTTGGAAACCCTATATAGTGTCTCTATGAGTCAGAACCAACTTGGCACTTAATAACAACAACAACAAACAAGTTACTTAACCTCTCTGAGCCTGTTTCAAACCTGGTTGATTGTGTTTTTTTTTAAAATGGAATAAAAAGTTTTCTTGCAAAATTGTTGTTGCTGTGTGCTGTTAAGTTGATTCTGACTAATAACAATCCTGTCAAAGGTTTCCAAGGCTGTAAATCTCTATGGGAGCAGAAAGCTGCACCTTTCTCTTAAAGAGCAGGTGGTAGATTCAAACCCCTGAGCCTGTGGTTAACAGCCCAGCATGTAACCACTATGCCACCAGAGCATACATTATTAAGAGAATTCAAATACATGAATGAAGTGCTTGACAAAATGCTCTGCAAACAGTCTACATTCAACAGATGCTAATGTGTTTCCTCTCTGCTGCTCTTACTTTCTTCTCTCCACTTCCTAGCCTCTCTGGTTCTGAATGACTTTGGACCCACCGAAGGAGCCCTGGTACTGCTGTGGGTTAGGTGTTGGGCTGCTAATGGCCAGGTCAGCAGTTCAAGCCCACCAGCCACTCCTAGGGAGAAAGATGAGGTTGTCTGTTCCTGTAAAGAAGCCCTAGAGAACAGCCAGAATTGACTCGATGGCAGTAGGTTTGAATAAGGATAGCAAAAAGAATGTACTTCTAGTCCCTGGCCATCTCTAAATTAATAGGCTCAAGCCAAGGCTATTATATTTGCATATTAAAGTCAAATAGTACATTAATTTACAGAGTTTAGATGACCTTTTCCAAAACCAAATAATGAAAAGCCTAAATCATGAAGAATGGAAATTAAAACTCATAATAGGAGCTCTGACTGTAAAGAAATATGACTAATTTACTAACACAGAGAGAGAGAGAGAGAGAGAGCAAGCGAGAGAGAGAATGTGTTCTGTTGTGTCACCGTAGGATAAGCACTTGACCTCAAGGTCAGTATGAACCGTAACGTTGGCAGTTCAAACTCACCAACGGCTCCTCAGAAACCCTGTACAGGGTTGTTATGAATTGGTACTGACTGGACAGCACTTAACAACAACAAAAACATATACAATTAATGGATCCGTAAGGTTGGCTTAAACCACAAGCTCAGCTGTTCAAACTCACCAGCCACTCCTTAAAAACCCTATACTGGGTTATTATGGGTTGGAACCAATTCAATGGCACTTAACAACAACAACAATTAAGTGGAATTACCTAAAAAAATATCACTTCCATTGGCTATATAGTATCCAAGTGATACTACTGGAACACAAAGCATTTTTGCAACTACTCTTAATTGATACATAGTCCAATACTTCACTTCCCCTTGGTTTCTACTACTTATTCTGCACTCACCAATTGTATGTACAAACACATTAATGACACACCTGCTATTTATAAATATCAGATACTCGAGGATGCATTAATATTAACATTGTAGGGTACATTTCAGGCCAACTTATTTTAGTTCTGGCCTAATCAGCCCTCAGAGATTCATATAGTGCTGTATGGTAACTGGTTGGGTACCTGAGAGTTAATAGGCACCTGGCCAACGTCAATGATTGTTGAACTGTGTGACTGTCCAAGTTAGAGAAAGGGGGCCTATGCAATTAGACCTGGTGAGTCCATCATTTTCCTACCTGGGCGTTCTGAAAGAGTCTCCTTTTCAAAATGCACTTTCAAAGAGAGAGAAATTCTAAACATGTTGGAACACACAATCTAAGCCATTAAAAAAGAGGAAGAAAGAAAAAAGTGCCATTCCCATAAAATTTTTCTAAGTGAAATTTCATTATGACCAGAGCAAAATGAACCCCAACCCTCCTCAGCATACACATCTCTAGCACTACCCTTGAAAGAAACTGCTTTTGAAGGGCCAATACATCTCTCAAGAGTAAAGGGGAACCCTGAGGCCCCAGAGTGGACCCTTAGTTAAATCACCTCCAGGATACAGCACATTGACCAGAGTTTGACAGCATAGAGCTGCACTCCACAAGGTTTTCAGTGACTGATTTTTCAGAAGTCAATCACCAGGTCTTTCTTCCAAGGCACCTCTGGATGGGCTTGAACCTCCAACCTTTTGGTTAGCAATTGAGCATGTTAACAGTTGCACCATCCCATCTGTTGGTGCTGGTGGTCGTGTGCTGTTGACATGGTTCTGACTCATAGTGATCCTCTATAGGGTTTCTGAGGTTGTAAATCTTTACAGGAGCAGAAAGCCTCATCTTTCTCCCGCGGCCCATCCCATCTAGGGAAGAATATATAATAACCAATGAGACTATTTCCAAATTCTTTCTCTTTGCCCTCAAGTTGGCTGTAGCTCATGATGATTCCCTATACAATATAACAAAACGTCACCTGGTCTCACACCATCTTCATTGTCTTTTCCCCAGTTTATTACTGTTGCCAAGTGCCGTCAAGTCGGTTCTGAACCGACTTAGAGGGTTTCTGAGGAGTGTCTGTTGAGCTTGAACTGCTGACATCGTGGTTCAAACGACTTCGCAGTCCAGCGTATAGCACTACACCAGGACTCCCTCCTTCCCTAAACATGGGTTCCTTGGCAAAACGAGTTCACGATTATATTGCAGTCCCCACACCCTCAATCTGAGTTGTCATCATTGTTTTTCTTAGCAGCCAGATCTCATGAATTAACATGATAGCAATCCACCGTGGTGCCCGGAAATGTCTGTTTTTCCATTATATGAACATAGAAACCACATGTGAGTGGTGTCTAAGTTATAGTAAAGAGCTGCAAGGCACTGAAACACAAAATAGACAATGAACCCAAAGTCTATTTAGGAACCGAAAAACCCTCTCTTCAAGCTGATTCAGGAATGTTGCAGCTGAAATGAATCAAAAGGAGGAATAAAGTGGCCATACTGTTGATAAGTTAGGATTCAGTTTGATAAACTGGTTCATTTAAAATAATTTTTAATCATTACTTGGGATCATATTCTAGTTTCAGCTCACAGCTCTCATTCGTACTGAATTTCAAGTGATTTTCATATCCCAGCTAAAATTTTCCTGATTTAATTTCCCCATTGCAATGGCAAGCACAGCAATTTTCTATACAGAAAAACAAACCCAAACAGATTTGGCATTGCTTCCAAGTCTATAAAATGATCACGTGGGGCTCAACTTTACTTTTTCCAACTATTTTTGAGTGTCAGCATTGCCATTCTTAACTGCACTTCATAAGGAGTGGTGCTGTAGGATAAGCGCTGGACTGTAAGTCCACTTTGAACTGCAAAGTCAGTGTTCAGACCCACCAGCTGCTCCTCAGAAACCCTAGACTGGGTCACTCTGAGTCAGAACTGATTTGACAGCAATGAACAGTAATAAAAGTAAAAGGAATGAGAAAGCCATCAGTTTCTTTCCATATCATTCATCTTAAATTACAGTTTCTAGCCCTATCACTCAGCATACTAGATGGAAAGCCCCGTAGGAAAGAACACTGGAGCTGACTTCAAGCCATTAGATTTTATGATTCAGTAGCCTCTTTGACTACTTTAGGATGGGCATTCAGACTCAAAACATGTGTCTTACAAAATGAAGTCATTGTTCCTTTTATCAAGCTATGAGTATGTTTCCTTGGAAGCATGTAAAATAGTCTACCTGATTTATAACTCTGCTATGGCTTAAAATGCTGTTAACAGTACTTTAGGAAAAGTTTAGCTTCCTTGTTTTTTAAAAACAAAAACAAAAAACTTGCTACCTTTAGTCTCTGAAAGCAAAAGGAACACACTGCACTTACGTTTGTCCAATCAGATTGCATAGTTGAGGCAAATTCATTTGTGCTTTGTAGCAGAACTCAGTAGGTGTCCATCTCTAAAAACTTTAACTGATAAAAGCTAAGTTCCTGTCAAGCTCACCTGTGCTTGAAGTGTATGCTAATTATAGGCATTGCCTTTACCCTTCTCAGGATTTTATTAACCATGGATCTCAGCTTTACACCACCTTGGAGCATGAGCAGTAAATTAACTATCCAAAATGTAACAAATCTATCAAAACTGCTCCTTCTGGGAAAGAAGGGGATTGGGGAAAGAAAGGCTCCCAGTCTTGTTGAGGTATCCAGCCCTCAATCTGGCTGTTTAGACTAAGTTTTGTTGGTGTGAGGGTTGTGTCTTTAGAGGTTATAAAAGAAAAGAAAGAAGGCACGGGTGTTTCTTAAGTCACCGTATCAATTCAACCAACAAAATTAGAGCCTTCCATTTCTGTGTTTCAGGAGAGAGGCTAAGTGGCTGCAGGGTTTTCTTCCCGCCCCCGGTCAGTGGAGGAACTTATTGCTTCGGGGAAGGGCCCAGCATAGGTCTGTGCTGTGGAATGGATCCCTTTCTGCAGACCAGGCTCTTCGTGTAATTCTCCTTGGATGCTGAAAGCAGGACAAGACCTGGTCCGGGCAGAGCTGGCGGCCTGTCTGGTGCAGCCCACTCGCTCACTCACGGTGCTCAGAGGGAATTCTCGTCGCCTCTGCCTCTGCGTTTCTTCCTCCTTGTATTTAATGGAGTACCAGGCCAGAAAAATAAAAATAAATCCAACAAACTTGAGTCCAGCCGCCAAGCCAAAATAGACGAAACGAAATGATGTCACATTGTATTCCCAACAGGAGCCCTGCACACCGCATTCCTGTTGCCAGAGCATGCAGGTGGTGTCGATGACTGCGCCAAAGTAAATCGGAGTAGGAATGTATGCTAGAGTTTGGGAGAAAGAGAAAAGTATGAATACTTAGCACATCTATATATAGAGAAAACGGATCTGGACATTATCAAGTACTTGTTTGCCCGAAACTCAAGTCAAATTCATTGCTGTCAAGTTGATTCTGTTGTCGCAGAGTAGAACTGCTCCATTGGGTTGTCTTTAGTTGTAATCTTTGCAGAAGCAAGTTGCTTGGTCTTTCTTCTGTGATGACATTGGGTGGGTCAGAACCATGAACCTTTAGGCCAATTGTTGTTGTAACTGTTAAGTGCCGTCAAGTCAGTTCTGACCAATAGCAACCCTGTATAGGGTTTCTGAGGAGCACCTGGGAAGCTTGAACCATGTGCTGGATGGCAAGGTTGATACCTTGTGGTTCAAACCAACTTTGGAGTCCAGCGCATTAACCCACAGCGCCACACCAGGAGTCCTCTCCCTGGTGGTGGTGGTTGTGGCTATGTGCTGTTGAGTCGGTTCCGACTCATAGTGACCCTGCCATAGGGTTTCCAAAGTTGTAAATCTTTACGGGAGCACAAAGCCTCAGCTTTCTCTAATTTATGCCACCCAGGGGCCTTAAAATTAGGTAGAGGGAGTTGTCGCCTCATGTTACTTGATTTTCCTTTTTACATGTGAGGGGCTTCAAAAAGTTTGTGTAAAAGTTCCATTATATTATAATTCCATTTTTCCACAAACTTTTCTAAAAACTCCCCTCATACATGGTCACATCTTAATTAATATTTTGTTATGAAAGTTTTCACTACATTGTAAATAATTAAAATCCTCTAGTTTACACCTCCTAAAAAGAAGGTTTTATTGACTTTTCTTTTAGGATCATAAAAATGTCTATTGCTAAAAATGCAAACTGTGCAAATGTCAAAGTGTGCTTTTGTAGTTAAACGCTAACGACGTTCCACTAAGACCTTTTATTACCTACCAAAATTCAATACACTTAGTTCTTGGGGGGTCCTTGTCAAGTCCATGGATGTAGGAAGATTCTAAGGAAAGTATTGTCCTCGATAAGTTAGCTACCACAGCACTTGGGACATGGAAATAATTATGGTATAAAATGCATCCTTAAAGTTTATGAGTCCTCATGTGGTGCTGTGGGATAATGCACTGGACTGCAAGGTCATTTTAAACTGCAAGGTCAGTGGCTCAAACTCACCAACAGCTTCTTGGAAACTCTATACAGCGTCACTATGACTCGATGGCATTTAACAACAAAGTTTATGAAGCACAGGGAATGTTTTATCCTTTGGGCTATGAAACATAAGTCTTCACTTCCATAAGAAAGAATGGCTACTTACTAGACTTTCTATATTGCTTGCTACTCCCTTTGCCCCATTACCAACTTGTCCTTACAAATACCTGCTGTTGTTGTTATTGCTAGCCTCTGTGGAATCAGTGCCAACTCATGCTGACCCTTTGCACAATGGAATGAGCTACTGCCTGGGCCTGCGCTGTTCCCAGGGCCAGCAGTCATGGACAGGACCATTGTGATCCATGGGGTTTTCACTGTCTTTCTAGTCTGTCTTAGTCTGGACACTCTGCTGAAATCTACTCAGCATCATAGGAACACACAAGCTTCCACTCACAGATGGGTGGTAGGTATGCAGGAGGGACATTGGCTAGCACACAAACCCGGGTCTCCTGTATGAAAGGAGAATTCTACCACTGAAGCACCATTGTCTCTGCAAATGTCTATCCCCCATCCCACCCCCCCTTTCAATTTCTGCAGCAGCAATGGGCTCAAGAACAACTTTGTGAGGATTGCGTAGAACCCGGAAGTGTTTTGTTCTGTTGTGCATAGAGCCCCTATGAGTCAGAACTGATTCTATAACACCTAAAAACAGTAACAACAATTTGAATCAACATATCAAGACACTTCTGGATCCTCAATAAGAATGTATTGAAGAAAGTGATGCGGATGGGGTAGCGGGGTAGAACAAGAGAAAAGAAGAAAGGAAGAGACAGAGGAAAAGAGGGCAAGAGAGAGGAAAGGAAAGGGTTGAAGAAATAAGTGAAAGGAGAGGAAGGAGGAAAGAATAAAAGACAGAAGGGAGGGAAGACTGAGGACATGTGGGCTAATAGCTGAGGAGGCTGTTAATGCTCCCTTTTTAAGTAAGTTGTATTTATTTATAACCAGGTCTAGTCACTACAATTCAATGATTAAGGTACTTAAAATTCTGCTTTTTCTTTGCTGTTTGGGAAATGGAAATTAGCTTGTTGGACTAACTGTATTTTTTTTTTTTTTTTTTACAATCAATAGAAGTTAAGGTAAGGTTGAATTAAGTAATAAATGCCTACAGTGATCTCCCTCAGCGTCTTCCTGATGCTGCAGTGGACATCTGCTAAGTTGCCTTCCCAAACTCCAAGTTCATTTCAAATATCCTACTCCACAACCTCACAGACAGGCACAGCAATAAGAAGGATCTGGATTTTTCATTATTTTACTGCACCTTTGGTAAACACATTTCCTTCTATGAAAATGACACTTCTCAGTTTTCAGAGAGAAGTTCAAGATCAGACATCTAAACTATATGAACATATGTCAGGAGTTCCTTTAATAGCATGCCTGTTAAAAATATTACTACAAAAGGTTTATCTGCACCGCCCCCCCCACCCAAAGCCACCTATTAAGTGGAGCTAAAAGCTGTTCCCAGAAAGGCCTCATTCTCAAGCTGAGCCATTAACCGCAACAAATGACAAACTGAGACTCCCAAAGTGGGTTAATGAGTCAAAGGGTCAGGGAGTACCATTTCAAAATATTTCACCCTTCAGAGCTGAAATAATTTTGTGAATTTCAATCCCCAAAAGTTTTTGGGTTGTTTTGATTTTTCCCCCCGTGGGCACTAATACTGATTACTGGGGGGAAACCTGATGACGAGGAAGTCAATTTGAAATTGGTCTACGGATGGGACTACTTCATACTTCACATGTTTATAGATTGTGTGTGTGAAAATCAAAATGGCATTCTTAGAGCACAAATGAATTCTGTGGTTCACCACAACAAGTGCAAAAAGCCTTGTAGGGTTGTTTTTGTTGTGAGCTGACTTCAAGTTGGTTCTGAGTCATATCGACCCCATATATGTTTTCTGAGGCAGAAATCCATATAGGGTTTCATGGGGGCAGAAAGCCTTATCTTTCTCCAGCAGAGCAGCTGGCGGCTCAGATCACAGACCTTCTGATATAGAGCTTACGGTATGGAGCCACTGCACTCCTCCTGGTAGGGTCGTCCCTTATAGTCATTTGAGGTTCTTCCTTTAAAAATATTTTTCTTCTCTCTTTTCCTCAGAAAATGAATACATAGGCATGCTGTTTAACCAGTCTAGTAAACAAAGGCATATTTGCCTAAGTTATGGCAGGTATGGTCTATGGCCTGCCAGGGAGCCACTTGAAGAGGGCATCACTGAGCAATATCTCTTAATCACAGCTGTTTCCATCACCAACTGTGCGAGATCATTTAGCAAGTTAAGACCCGTTTCATATTTGAGGGCCTCTGTGGCAAGGTCAACAGTTCAAAACTACCAGCCGCTCCATGGGAGAAAGATGAGGCTTTCTACTCCCGTAATGATTTACAGAGATGCTATGGGTTGGAAACCCTGTACAGGGTCACTATGGGTCGGAACCGACTTGCCGGCACTTAACAACAACAACATGGCATCCTGAGGTGGTGCTGTAGGACAAGGAATACACTGCTAATTGCATGATCCGTGGTTCAAACCCTCCAGCCACTCCTTGAAAACTCTATACAGGTTCACTCTGAGCCAGACCAGAATTTGTCTGTCAGTTTGTTGTACCCTGGTGGCTCATGTGTTACTGTGAGTCTGGAAGCTATGCCACAGGTATTTTAATATCAGCAGGGTCATCCATGGTGGACAGCTTTCAGCTGAGCTTCCAGACAAAGGCAGACTAGGAAGAAGCAGAGAGAGTCTACTTCAGAATATTTAGTCACTGAAAACCTTATGAATAGCAGTGGAACACTGTCTGCACCAGAATATTAAATATTGACACACGATGAAGAGCACCATAATATTGTCAGATATAGTGGGGGAAAATGAGCTCCTCAGGTCAGAAGGCACTGAAAATGTGACTGGGGAAGAGCTGCCTCCTCAAAGTAGAGATGACCATGATGACATGAATGGAATAAAGCCCTTGGGACCTTCATTTGCTGGTGGGGCACAATGCAAAATGAAGAGAAACAGCCATTAATAATCAGAACATGGAATGTACGGGGTATGAATCTAGGAAAATTGGAAATTGTCAAAAATGAAATGGAATACAAAAACATTGATATCCAAGGCGTTAGTGAGCTGAAATGGACTGGTATTAGCCATATTGAATTTGACAATCACATAGTTTACTATGCCGGGAATGACAAATTGAAGAGGAATGGTGTCTCATTAAACATCAAAAAGAACATATCAAGGTATGTCTTGAAGTACAACACTAACTGTGTTAGGATAATATCCATACGCCTACAAGGAAGAACAGTTAATACCACTATTATTCAAATTTATGCATCACCCACTAAAAACCATTGATGATGAAATTGAAGAATTCTACCAACTTCTTCAGTCTGAAATTGATCAAACATGCAATCAGAATGTATTGATAACTACTGGCGATTGGAATGCAACAATTGGAAACACCGAGTAAGGATCAGTAGTTGGAAAATACAGCTTTTGTGATAGAAACGATGCTGGAGACAGCTTGATAGAATTTTGCAACACTTTTGATATAATTTTGTCAGTAAGAAGACAAGAAAGAAGGAAAAGACCAAAATGGATGTCAGAAGAGACTCTGAAACTTGCTCTCCAGTGTAGAGATGCTAAAGCA